AACGGCTTGCAGTAAAAATTAACCTTGTAGCTATTAGAAGAGTCATTTGGGCGTATGGATACAGCGGTCGATCAGCAAGAAGAAAATTCTTCCTCAACTAAAAAACTGTAAAAATATGGTTGGAGTTCGCAAATCAGTGGTAAGCAAAGCTTTATCATATAGAAATACTGTTATATTTGTAGGCAAATAAAAATTTAATATATTTAGGTCTGATGGATAAATTGCTGTGATTGGAAAGTCAAATGAAGAATCGAATCCAAACAACCTATGTATTAAGCGTGACAATGGAAGATTGAACGTTTGGGTATGTTTCGCTACCTTTGGAATTACAAATATACTTCCAATAGAAAATGATATAGATCAGCATAAATATACAAACATTCTTAATGAAAACCTGAAAACATCTGCTAGAAAACTTGGAATGCAAAATATATTCAAGTTCTATCAGCATAATTATATCAAACATAGAGTCCTTAATGATCGTTTGTGGTTATTATACAACTCTCCTGAAGTTACCAAACTCCTCCACATTCTACGGATTTAAAGCCTATCGAACATGTATGGAGTGAGTTGGAGAATAGAATAAGGAAACATAACATTTCGAAAATTCTATTAAAAGTAACTCTTACGGAGGAATGGGAAAAAATGAAACATTTTTACAAGACAAAGAGCCCTGCAGTTTATGCGTATTACAAGAGAGGTATTTAATGAAAAGTAATGCAAAGTCACGTTTCAAGAAACTGCATAATGCAATAGTTTGATATAATATACATCGTAAGCTTTAAGGCAATATCTATAGCTATGTTTTTAACTTAATTTTGCTTTTTCAATGAAACGTGTAAGTACTGAAAAATATGCTATAACGGAGCTAGTGGAAAATACACTCTTGTGTAAAATTAAGAGAATTTGAAAATTATGTCAATTTTTATGAAAAGTATTGAACTAAAATACTAATTACACCACTGAAGAATTTTGCAAATATTAAGAGTCGAACACCTAAGCTTACACATGCGTAACTGTGGAGTTGTGATTGTGAAAGGGATATAAGTACACGAGGGGTTCTCTGCAATTTTTGCGTACTCGTACTACTTTCCGACATTCGCCGTGTTTCTCGCAAAAGTTGGGTAAATTTTATAAGGAACTAGGTAAAACGCATGGCTGAAAGCAGTGAGATGAAGAATTGTCGGTAGATTGAGACAGGCCAATATCAAGCGTAGGCAGCTACAGAGCTCATTGTAACGCCTAGTGTCGTCTGCAATTTGAGGAAACATTTTCAGCACACTGGATGCATATCGAGAAGACCTAAACAAGGTGGACCAAGATCCAAAATGACGAATTAGGATCGTTATTTAGCACTTTCAGAGCGACGACACAGGATTGAGCTTCACAGCTCTCACGTGGCATGTATGCTGCCACTCGAACCCAAGTTTCACTGCCTACAGTTGCCCGAAGGCTTCAGGAAATAGTGCTGTATGCTAGAAAACTCACTGTTTGCGTCCTGCTTACTGCAACACACAAGACAACGCGTTTAGCATGGTGTAGGCAACATGCATCTTAGACCAGTCTTTAGTGGAGCACCATGAATTTTACAGACAAGTCGAAAATCAGCCCGAACACTGATTTTCGGCTTAAATCTGTATATCTGGAGAACGTCTGAAAAACGATACCATCCCTAACTTATCAGGAAGAATTATCAATACGGTGGTAGAGGTGTAAAGGTTTGGGCAGGAATTATGTTGACTCCCGTGTATCTCTGCATGTGTTCGACAAATGCTCTCTGAATGCTATGAGGTGTACCTAGAATCTGAGGATCTTAGCCGTATGGATTCGCTAGCCAGATTTCTTGACCTTAATCCTATACAGCATATCTGGGACTTTTTGAGAACAATTTTTATTCCGCCATCTCCTTCCGAGAACCATGCCGGTATTAAAAAGTGCCTTGTGTCAGGAGTGGGATCGACTGCCACAGGGACTCGTCAGCTTCTTTCTGCCTAGTATGCCTTTACGCTGCGTGGCTTGTCTGGCTGTGAGAAGGTACCATACACCATATTAAACTCATTTTCAGTTCGATATCACAGTGTGGATTATTTGATAGTAGAGGATGTGGACATCCCTGGACTATGAAATTTACAAATAATTATGCGTGCATAAAATAACTTTTGAACAATATATTTTTATATCTGTTATAAATATATATTCATACGAAATTTCATTAAAATCTGTCCATTAGGTTTTTAGAAATTCGACCAATTGTACAAATTCTCTTAATTTTCCACACGAGTGTAAGTAATAAAATTGAATTATAAAATATGCTTTATTTCGATAGCACAAAATTATATATAGTGCTTTATTGAAACGCCAATTCTCTTGTACAATACTGAAGTTATAATTTATTTTGAATTCTGAAGCCATCTTATAGATAAAAGTAAAGGATTAAAAATATAATTGCTTAAGCATTTTAAAGAACATTTATTTTTATATTTACCATTATAAGTTAGATTTCGAATCAAAAATCAAATCAAATCAAAAATCGAATCAAAAGTTTCATCTAAAAAGAGCAGATGAGAATGTTAAAAAAAGTGAAAATGTTTAGCACTAAATTTCTAGGATACTTTAATAAAAGCTTATTGTCACTAACAGGGTCGCAATCTGAAATCTCCGAATTATTATTTGAAATGATCTGTATATGCGAGCTCAGAGGATTATTTATCTACCCGCTTTACATAATACCTTGGTGCTCACAGATTCATTCTATATCATATCAAATTTTAAGGCTGATATGTTTAATTTATTACACTAAATTTTTCTTATTAAAAATTGCAATCAAACTAAATATTTTATTTCATGCATGTATATGTTTATTCAGCAACAATACAATGCTACATTTTTACCGCGTTTTAATGAACACATAAAATGTGAGTGCTTTGTTTTGAAGTAATAAAATAACTTTGTTTTGAAGTAATAAAGGAACTTTGTTTTGAAGCCAAAGGAATCATAAAATCTAATATTTCCTAAAGGTTAGATTCATAGATTCATAATCATAACAAAGCTTAGTAAAATCTAATCACTTTAATCTTTAGCAAAATTCTAAAATGAGATAGATGATACGTAAGTATTTGGTCTGATTAATATTTGAAAAAAAAATCATTAAAAAATTTAACAATGTACGAATTGACTAATTAATTGAATAAATGGTCTAATGGCTGATATACTTCCTATAACCTTTTAAAACCTAAAAACAATTTAACGAAATAGATAGATTTTAAGAAGCCGAATCGATTCATTACAAATTCATTATTCACTACAAAAGTTTCCAATTCAATATGAGCAGTTCATTGACGTAGAAGAAATTTTCATTTAATATATTACTTTATAATTATTTTCATGGCAAATCAAATTTAATAGAAGTTATTTAATTCAACTATGAGAAAAGTAACTCATATATATAAACGCTTAATTTATTTTCGCATAGCTTAATACTTTTAATAATTTCAATAATTTCTTCAATTACGTTTGCCTTTAGTTAAGAAAGATACTAGGTTTTTCTTTCTCGATGTTTTCTGGTAGATTTCGTTAATCAAAAACAAATCGAATGCGAAAAGAACAGGGTACAAATTTTAACATTTTTTTGAAAAGGAAATTAAAAAGTAAATTCGCTCTTTTTATACACACCAAGTTATGTTACAATCTAATGTTACTGTGTAACTTTTATAGCTAATACAGGGTGTCCCAGAATTGCATGCAACATATTCAAGTTTTTGGTGTACATACTTACTGATACTTTATTTCTTGGATACATTGCTCGTTATGACTTTGCTGTTTCCATGCTATCTGAGAATGACAAAGATGCTGACTATCTGAAACATGCCCTTTTCTCATATGAGGCTACGCTCATATAAATGGCGGTATCAACGGACGCAGTGCTAGAAACTGAAGATACAAGAATCTCCACGCTGTGCTTGAGATTAGCAGAGACAGCTCTGAGCTGAACGTGTGATGCGGTCTTACAATAAAATCACAGGAGCTTTTTTCTTCAGTGAAAGACGATCACAGCCAATACCTATCTTGATATGTTGCAGTTATTTTTTGTTCTCAGATTCGGGACATTTCGTACTAATTTTCCAACAAGATGATACGCCACCTCAGAGGAATTAGATGTCCGCATCTATTTGAATACAACATTTGCGGAAAGGTGGATCGGGCATGAGGGTTCGAAAACAGGCCTCCGCGATCCCCTGACGTAACACCACTGAATTTTTTCCTTGATCAGGTTTACCAAACACTAGTGAACGGCATCGCAGCATTATAGTGCAGAATTTCTGAAGTCATAACATTTATCTCTCACGTAAGGTTGACGAAGAACATGGATTCGGAATATCGTCTGGATATCCTTCGGGCAATGAAAGAAACACACGCAAAAATTTATTAATTGTGTAGCCAAAAATCTGAATATGTTACATGAAATTCAAGATAAAAATTAACTGTGTGTCATATTTTTGGCCTTATGAATATTTGGAATCAGGGAAAGAATTCTGGGACACCCTGTATTTGTAATGATTATCTTAAAATTATCATTTTAACTATATGATCTTTAAACTGTTTCATTTAACTAATTGGAAGATTTTAAAAATATAATTAGAAAATTTTTACTAGAAAAACAGATCATAAAACTAGAAGATTTTAAAGCTATTCTATTATTATAAGTGATAAATAAATTCGCTTGTTTTACTTGTAAAAAGAATAGGAAAGAAAAATAATTACTATAGATTCTTGAATGACAGTGGAGAACACAGCCTAGTTGAATGTGAGTTATTGACTCATGAAGAATGTATAATATGTTATATATGGAATGCAAATGACATAATTCAAAATGGTGTTTATATATAAATGACATAATTTAAAATTATATTTGTGTATGGAATACAAATGGCATAATTCAAAATGATGTTTATGTATGAAATGCAAATGACGTGATTAAAAGGATGAATTATTTCCATTACCTTCGGGGAAAAGTGTTTTGAGTAAGGGTTGTTCCGTTCGATACATGGCTTGGGAAAGATCTCGGTGAAGAATATCGTTGTTCTTGTCTATGAAACCCGTTACGGAGTAAGTCACCTAAAAACATAAAGTGCAACAATAATTATTAAAGAAGCAAAGTAAGGATTACATAATTTTAAATGCGAAAATTAATAATCATTAGAAGATTATTGGTTAATGGTTTTCGAAAGCTGTAAACTGAATTTCTATTACAAATAGTCACAAAACGCAAGGTTTAAGGCAGAAGTATTGAAAAATTCCGTTATGTATATCATATTGAGTGGGTAACCCTTATCAGTCTGAAAAACTAAGCCTTTATATGCAATAAAAGTTTAATATTTGAAGCTTAAGGATAAAATACTTCGAAAATTTTAATGCAACCTAAAATGTTAAGCTTTTAGTTCTTACAATACGGATTAATTCTGATCTGTTAGGACACTTCTGCTATATATAGGGCCCTTCTGCAAAAGTGATGAAGACACATGGCTTGCAAACGAAGCACAGTTTTAAAACCATTTCTGAACAGTAGCTTATCACTGATTTATTTTAAAAACAAGTCACTCAACTACCAGAGATATTGCAGAAAATTGTACTATGCGCAGATGAAAGCTAAAGTGAAAACAATACAAAGTATATTTTTTGATTTTGAAAATTTTGTTTTTGTATAACTTCATAAAACATCTCGTTGAGTTGAAATTATTGAAAGTAACGTTTTTTTAGAACTAATATACTGATATAAATCTTGAAGAGAAAGTTCGTCCCACAACAATTTCTGTTGTATATGTTTAGCGTTTGCTCAGGAAAAGTTTTATTTGTTTTATTTAAAAAAATTACGTTATAACTAAGAAAAACACATGAATCTCCCTTAAGTATAGATGTTAATAATAAAATAAAAATAAAAATTATGTATTCATGCACACTATGTATAGGAAAGTTGAATGCATATAGACAATTCACAAAGCAAAGTAAATGCATAAAGAAAATGACAATGAAGCTACTGAAGATAGTGATTTTACGTGTTAAGCAGCATTATGCCAAGGAGAGTTAAGAGAAGTAAACACACTCACGGCGCCTGCATAGTGCCTGACCCTAAAACTGTGATGTGGCAAGGTGCTGTCTGCGATGAAGTTCCTGCATCCCCGGCTCTCGAAATAAGGGTTGTCCTGGCAGGCCTGCGTCAATTTGTAGAGAAAAGTTTCGTCGCTGACCGGTCCAGGACGAAGGCACTCTTCGTCCAACATGGCTAAAATGCCATGATTATTCTAAGAGAAAGCAACAAAAATAATTTCAAAACACGGAAAGAAACCTGCTATTTTTTATGACTCCACAAGAAAGTATTAAGAAAATTGATTTTCCGTTTACCTTTTCGATAAGATCACATATAACGGCATTGTTGAAGTAGTCAATGTGCTCCCATTGTATTCCCTATCACATAAAAACAGCGATATATTGTTCTGAAGAAGAAAGAACTTGAAATGCTTAAAATAAGAAAAGAAATTCAATGCGAATAATCAGAAGTGATTTTTAAGCTGCACCACTACCGCTTCCCCGAGTCATTGAATGTCGAGGAATTCATAGTCAGCCGCCAACAAATATTTTTTTAGTGCTAAAATTTGATTTGTTAGTTGTTGCAAGGGGTGAAACACTCGGCCCGAAACAAGTTCAGCCATTAGGTCATAACAGGTTATTATCTAAATCATAATTCACTGTCATATAATTTTCTGGCATTAGGAGATAACAACATCGGAGGAACAATGTTTCTGAAAACCGTGAATAATATGTAGCAATGTAAGAAACATTTCTTTAAACTATATTGCATATAAAATTAGGAATTTAAATTTAATTTTAATGCACCCTAAATTGCATTAATTAGATAGATCATTCAAATAAAATTTACAATTATATTAGTTAAAATGGGTTAATGTATTAGCATTTGTAAACAATACATTTATAATTTGGAAACTAAATAGGAAATCTTATATTCCCATCGAAAGGCATCACTCTGAAAATTTGTTATTTAACAGGCCGTGTATAAAACAAATTGAAGAGATTTTCTAATCCATTGCAACACTTGAAAACTCACCTAAATGATCAATGTGTTATAGCAAGCTTAAAGAAGTTTTCCAGAATTTTTAGCCTTTTTTAACTTTCTAAAGCATACCTGGTTGATACTTTCTAATTCGAGAACATTATGTTAGCTTAAATTAAATTAAAATTATGGGAAAAAAAAACTTCTGTTCGATAAAAAACGGTTGGTTTCAATTATAAATTTCATAGTCAATTTAATTTAGAAAAAGAACATACAGTGAGATTTTCTCATCTGAAAATACTAAATAATATAAGAAATTAATGTCAATAAAGCATGTGTATATTACATATTGGTATTTTATTAAACGCTCAAGCAAATATATTAAAATTCAATTGTAGTTAGACAATAAGAATGCTAAGTAATTTAGCATCCATCAATCTTTTATTCTTCATAGTTTTTATTTACTTATTTTTAATTTAAATCGGTGATGCTTAGATATTAATATAACAGAATGCAATATTTTAATTTTATAGTGATAGATATTTTAACGTTATAAACTTGTATACTTACTTCTTTAATATATTCTTCTTGCTCTGCTTTTAACGTAAGTTCTATTAAAATTTGTTGGAGTTTTTCGTTACAATAATTTATGATGAGCTGTTCGAACGAATTAAACTACAAAGAGAAAAGAAATAAGTTACAAAAATAAATACGAAAATCTTAGGTATTACTTTCTAATATGCATTTCAGTTACTTAATTAAACTTTAATTTTGCATTGTCTGTTTGCTGGATGTAATTTTCATTTTTAGAAATATATCCGGATTAAAATCAAAAATTTTTTATACAGGTAATGATTTATTCAGATGTGTAATTGATATTACAATCGAAAAATGAGAATTTAAAGAGGAGCAAAAATATATTCTATTGTATATTAATAACAAATTCTGATATCATTATGTATATTTCTAACAACTAAACTGATTATATGTGCAACTTGACTGCTGTGGCACACGAAAGTAACATATATGGAAATATTATTTCACATTAATTTAGTACACGAAATTTTACTTTAGATAAAGACTGTCAACCTTCAAAAATTGAAATTAGGTTACTCGAATTTTGTGTTTTATATAATAAGAGTACTTGCGACTAATTTTTGGTTTAAAAAAAAAGCAGCTTTTCTTCCCAATGGAGCCAGCTGAAAAATCTGAATTTCAAGTACATAGGAAACAGTCGACGCATGAAACCATGGAAATTAGAATAAATGGAGTAAGCCTTCTATGTATGTCCCGTGCAATGAAAATGAAGCCATGAAACGCCACGGTGTGATCTCACGACGATAATGGCCGCTTCCGTAAGCCAAAGAATTGTATTTGTCATACAAAAGAATATACAGAAAAACAAATAATACTATAACAGTCTTCTAAATCTGCTAAGTTTAATTACCAATACTGATAAAACTTCGATTTGTTGGGTGTGAGTTACTTGCAAATGAAATACTCACTGTCGGTCAAACAGTTCAGAGCCACTCAAGATAAATCTTCTGAATCACGTGAATCAATGAGTGGCAAAATACGTTTCGACTAGCAATAACACATCTGAATAATTCTCGAATCCTCGAATTCCCGCGTATTTTGAGAAAGACTCGAGACTAAAATTTCCCATCTTCGTGGCATTTTCATCATTCAAATCTTTTGAATAGTGACAGCATTTAGAATAAAATAACACAAGGCATTTTAACTCATGATTTTAGAAAGATCAGATCTGTTGATGTCCAACAGAAATGTCCATTTAAAAAATGTCCATTTAATAAAAGGAATAAAATTATTGCAGTTTTAGTGATTGCTGGCTCAACCATATCCTTTCGTAGTGGTCCTGAGAGTTACACACTTTAACTATACTATCTAGTGATATATGAAATAATTTTTAAGTGATGACCGAAACTCCGCTAAAATAACTCCTGAACAATGTAGATAATGCTGGACGCAGATAAACTCCTATTAATAGAGTTTGGATGCCTCTAGCAACTCATGCCATGATATGTACTACACGCTGTGTCACGCAAGTGATACTCTCTAGTAATCAGCTATTGTTGGTTGTTGATATTTGAACTCATAATTGTAATCTGAATTGCTAACCAATGCTTTTTCAAACTTGTAGCGCCATCATGTATTTTTTGGAAGCAGGCAAGATGAAAAATGAGCAATCGCCTTCGCCGGGAATCGAACCACGGAGCTCTGAATACCGGCTCAACGTGCAGGCACTATGAAGGCACGCCAGAAAAGCGGGAGAAATACCTTATATACTCTCCATTTTTAAAGGGCAACTGGGGTTTTTAGGGGATCCAATCTACAAATCCTGGGTGTGGAGAATCCTCAGCCAACACTCTTTTAGTTCGGGTGCCGTTAGAGAGTAGAGATTAGAGAGTATTAGGTGTAGAGAGATTAGGTTAAGTGGAAAATCCGGAGAGATGAAAAATGAACAATAGCCTTCTCTGGGTATCGAACCAGGGCCCTCTGGATACCGGCCCAGCGTGCAGAACCACTTACTATATTTTGTTCGAACCATTTTAATAAATATAAGTGCGTTTTAAAAAATGTATTCTTAAATTTGTTTTCCATGAAATGAAAGTATCAAAATTTCTTTTAATAAAAGATTCATAGGGTTATTACTTTTATATTTCACTAACCATTTATTTTATATTTTGGGTCTTTACTGTCACTTATCGTTCCCGTTTCATTACCAGAATATAAATGAGGTAAAAAGAGATTGTACTTAAAGGAAGGTTTCGGGAGTTTAATTCGGAGCGTGTTTTGTCTCTTGAGACCACGCTACTAGATTGCTGCTAGCTCAGTTAAGATTTGCAGTCTTCGACTTTGCATGATAATAGCCGATATTTGAATATCTACGCCGGTTAGGTTTGTAAGCCAACTTTGCATTAAATTGATCTGTATAGTCTTTGGCTATTAGCTTACTTATATTTCAATTTTACATTTGCCAGTTATTTTAAGTTACTTCTCCAAAAATGATTGGCTGATTTGTAAGCAGGAGACATACACTTAAGTTCAAGTTCTGATTTAATAAAAAGGTTCGTTTGAGCATTCTCAAGACTCAGTCGTTAACTTTTAGACTTAACCATAATTTGCTGTCAGTATACCTAGAGTTTGGATCTATCTAGGGTTTGGATGCAATTTACGTTACCTAATAAGACCAAACTTTACAGATTTTAATAATAAAGTAAAATATTTTCTCTTATTCCTTCTTTCCGTGACAGTTTTAAAGGATTTGAGATTCAACAGATTTGCAGATTCTAAAAATGTTTCAGCATTCGGATTCTAGAAAATTTAGGACTTGCCTACTTCTATTTCCAACCCATTTTCAGTATGTTTAATTGTCCTGATTCTGAGGAACGTGGATGGTCCATGAAGTTGTACTCGGATTTAAATCTGCTGATTATTATTCTTACGGATTCTTGATGGACAATGAACACATAAGCAATCACTGCACGATCAATGAACTGAAAAATAATAATATATTTGCTCTGCCGAGTTCTCTAAAAATATTAAGTGGTATAATGAATTTTTTTATCTATTGCGAAGAATGTCAAATGGAAAAAAATACGTATTGTAAATGCTTTGATTAAATTTGATCTCACTTGTATTTTGAATTTGTATAAAAACTCTTTCATCTGATATTTTAATTTTTGTAATTTCTTTTCCTATCAGTTTATTCAATTTTTTTTCACGAACAGGCAAAACCGCGAGATAGTATTTAAGCGGTGGACACGAAAGAGTTAGACATGGAGTAGCTGACACATACGGACATTAAAAGGTCTCTGCGATATTTTGTAACCTGTTGCCAGTAGCAGAAAGCCGGTGATTGCAGTGTTTGTAACTAACTAAATTTGGAAAGTTCTAGTTTATACTGTAATATTATAAGTAAGTGAGAAATTACAAGAAAAGAAACTATAGACCTTTGAATTTATTAAATTAAAAACACTTGCATTATTTTTTTTGGTTTGACTCTATAAGTAGCACAGAAGTTTGAATTGCAACTTATGTCTGAGTTTGATACTTATGAGAGCGCAGATACCGATAATGTTTTCAATTTTATTTAAAACTTGAGTGGTTACTGTTTCATAGAAGTGATAGTTTCAGAATGGATGAGAAAATTCGCTAGTAAGCCGTAGGATCTGCAATTTATTTAAGAGTTACAAACCTATAATTTTATCTTTAAATACAAACCAAAATCCCACACCTGATACTAGACTCATGACTATAGAAGTACCATAGTGTAAAATTACTTATGAATTAAAAATTACCACTTCGTTATTTTGTAATGATCAATATGCATTAAAATCTAATTTGCACGAAATTCTTTCTTTTATAAAGATACAAATAACTAAAATATTTAATTAGATCTTCATATTCTCTAAGAAAGAACTTATCAAAGTTAACAAAAATTCTAGTATTAAATAGGATAATTCTGGCATTCGGAAAAAAAGTTTGATCGCATTAATGCTGGAAATAATCAACAGTTTAACTTTATGCAGCCAATAACTAACGAGCTAGGATTAAATATGAAGGAAGAGCACATGATGAAGTGACAGCAAGAAAAGAATAAAAAAGATAAAGAAATCCTGAACCTACCTCCAGTACTTCGAAACCATAAATGTCTAACATTCCTATACATTTTCTCTTTCCTATCCTCTTTGCCTGCAAATAGTAATATAAGAATCATATGCAGAAATATCATTGTAAAGGCATTAATGAAAGTCTATATATGGACATATTACATTAAATTTCAAACAAACTCCCAAGTTGGATAAACGCTCGCAAGGAATCTGTTTTGAAATGCATTATTGTTATTTTAAATGAAGATTGAATGTACAAAACAAAGTTAACTTATTCTGAAAATTAAAAAATGCTTAAATTATAAGTAAATCGTTTATAGTATTCTTGTTTCTGTTAATTATAACATGGATTACTTCTCTTCCGTGCGTTGTTTCAACTATTCTCAGATTATCCTTTATCCTTCACAAAAAAGTATCTTTTTATGAGAAATTGAAAAAGATATTCAGTTTTGGGTTCACTGTTCCGCACAAATTAAACGTTTCTTCTTTGCTGAACATTACATGAACTTACTGATGATCACAAAATTCGTATCTCGCGATACGTCATATGACTCTAAATGTTGTGGATAGATTTGCAAAAATCCTTTGAGTAGTTGGTTACGGAATATCAAATTGACGCTCAGCAGGATTTTCCCGTTTCTGAGGCTTTCTGAGGGCGCGAAATTTGTCTGGCTGCTTCATTAGAAATATTTAGCTATCCTTGGCTCTTATCTTCGCACAAACATTCAGTGTTCTTACTATAACTACAATCTGAGAATGCTCTGGTGATTTGTTTTATCTACAAACTATTGTCCCCAAAAGGTACGTTGTCAGTAATAAAGGATAAACATTTTGTATACTCAAAAACAGAAAACACTTTATACCGTCAACTCACCACTTTAAAAAGAGCACATATCTTTTAAGACATTTTCTTGCATTACGTGACTATCAAGAATATGCCTCTTTCATAACTTGGAAATTAGAACTTTGATTAATAACCGATAAGTTCTTTATAACAGCTCTTTAGATGACTGTAAGTTTAAAGTTATAACAATCTTGCTTACTTTTTAAGAAATGTCTTTGATAATTATAAAAATGTTTCTCCCAAAAATATTGCATTTTAAGTTTTATTTATTTATTAATCACGTTATTTTTATAGTATGATTTAAAATAATTTTACTAATACTCCACTTTTAGTTTGTTAAGAAGTTCACCAAAAGTTGTAATTCTGTAAAAAGTTGTCTTTCAGTATAATTACATGTTAATTTTGTAGCCATTATCAGTTAAGGAAAACTAAATAGAATACCAATTTCTTGCCAAGTTCACAGTAAAAAATGTAATCAAAGAAATAATACTTCAAAGTTATACGTGGCAGAAATCGCCTTAAAGTTGCTTAGAGCAAAAATGCTTCTCAGAAATACTAATAATCATATGTCTTTTGCAGGTTTTTGTCACGCATTTATTTCTAGAGAATTTGATTTGTATTCTTTTGCTGAATTTAACCCAATGGAAAAGCATGCTTTGGACAAGGAATGTAGCATGCAGATGTTTATTCATCTTTAAAGAAATACAGAAATCCTTTTCTCAATGAAGTAAATTGCAACAGATGTTTTTGATTCTTCATGAAAGAAACGACCGCATGCTTTTGTTTTCTGCAGTATTGTCTTTCAATATAATACCCAACTTATTTATTTTCATGCTTTAATTCATAAGAATTTAAATATGCTTTATTTTTATCATGATATTCTATAATTCGTTTTTAAAGTTTTCTTTCTTCTTGTCAGAATTCCTTCTGAAACTGAAATATTGATTGTTTCCGAATTAAGAAATATGCGTATAAAAAACGTAAAATGAAGTTATTATTGTTAAGTAAATAAATCAGAATAAAAGTATGTCATGTAATATTTCATTTAAGATCATCGACTTTGTAATTTTTCTTGAATGTAGATATTTTTATATTTAATACAAAGAATATAATATATTTAAGAATTTATAAAATCAGTAGACGACCTATAATGGAGCCAACAATAACATAGCATTATAATCGACCTATAATCGGCCCCTAACTATTTGTTATGAAAGTTATATAAAGGTAACACTGTACAATGAACACAAATAATCTTAAAAATATCAATGCATTTTAAATAATTTAATGCAAATGCTATGTTATTGTCTTGTCTATGTATTTCATGGAAGAATGGTTGCCAGAGCCTCAAGAAGGTTGGACTTCTATTTCCATCCTAGTGTCGAGGGACAGCACCCCAGGAAGTGGTTCGAGGATATGCCACCCCTCTTCCTTACCACCAAACCACACGAGAGGACTTTCGGCTCGCTATGTATTTGGAGTGCCACAATGCCGCAAAAACTCTGCACATTTACAAACATCCATGCCTTCTCCGAAATTTAAACTCTGGCCCTTCGGTACCGCAGTAGGCTCAACTATCCACTATACCGTTTGAGCGACAATAGAAATACTGTACAATAAATATATAAACACGTACTAATATATTATGTTTTCTATATATAAATGCTAAAACTAATTAATATTGGATTGCCTGCGATTGTTACTCAAACATTCGTTTAAAAACTCTTCCTATTTTTAGTATTTTTGAAAATTATCTAATTAGTATTATACCGCTAATCTTAACTTTTAAACCACTTCCATTATTACAGCACTGACATAGAACTGTTTGCTAATTTTCATTATTTCCTTCTTATTGACGTGATAAAGTTTCTTATATGCTGTGCTCGAATCTATCTGAGAAAGCTATTGGCGGACGTCTTCCTAAATCATTAAGTTTTTTCAATGCCGCACTTTGAATGCTTTTATCAATGGCATCCAAACTTCAAATTCCTCATAATTAGGGATGTTGAAATTTCTTCCTTGGCTTCTTTTTTTCATACTTTATTGAAAGAATGGAATGTTTAAAAGAATGCTTTCTTTTCTTTTTTTTTTATGCAACTCCAGGGCACAATGTAATAGATGCATTATATCAAGAAAGTTAGTTTTCTTTGCTAACTCTATTTTCGACTTATAATATTCCACCCGTATCTTACATGTTATAAGAGCTCTCCTCTCATAGTATTAATCCCCTTTTATTAGTCGAAATAATCCCTAGATTACACAATCGAATTATGAATGGGGTGTTTGTTGAATGGAATAAAATTTCAGTATGTACTATGGAGACATTCACCATGTAATCCATTTAATAAAAAGTATTGATTTATCCAAAGTCTTGAATTATATCTGAAGTCTACTAAAAATTCTCTACTCTTTTAAAGCACAAAGTACTTTTTCTAGTTTTCTGTTTGTGTATTGATGAAGGCAGTATAGAATGGTCACATACACTTTTGGCTAGTCTGCACTCATTTGAAATTTTAGTTTTAAACAAATACTTTGCCCACCAACGGCCAAGCGGTTAAGAGTTGCCGAACACTAATAGTTCGGCCCAGGTCCCAAGTCCTAGGGCCTCCTAATCTCAAGTCAAAGGGCTGCATAGGCGTTTTCCTGGTTTTCCCAATGTGTAACGTGGATACCAGCCAGTTTCCCGTAAAAATCCTCCACGGAGCCTCTTTTTCTTTCTGTGTAGTGCCTATGATGGAGCACGTAAAAAATAATAATAAAAGAGACAAATAATTGTGTTGTACGAACACATGAGGATCTCAACTACTTAACCACCTAAATTCAATTTCATATCATTCCACTTTGAATCCATGCTATATGACATTTTATCCAATCGAGTTCGTTTGTTACGATCTTTGTGTCAGACAGCAGTGTAACATTTCATTTTTAGGTAAAAAGTATTTATAAATTCTTTAAACCTGTGATAATTGCAGATTTATAGATCTTTAAGAGATGATCAAATGTTGTAATTATGAGCTTGTCAAAAGAACTGATTTTTCTGTAGGTTTTATTTATTATTATTTTTCTTTGTGGTGGGCACTAGCCATATTTTGCCTATCACACCACTATTAAGGGCAGAACTGGTGGTCATTTTACAATTTACATCAATCCATGCTTTCTGGATGATTCGAATCCGGGCCCTTCGGTATCGCAGTCGGCTACCCGAACCACTGTATCTACTAGGCAGCTTGAAACAAAGGTTCGTGCAATAATTAAACGGATAAATATACATCTTGGAAATTTTTACACATTTTGTATTTGTGATTATCACTTCCTTCCCCCCCCTCCATGAAAACAGGGGCTGGGGGAGAAGATCAACGAGATATTTCATGCAACCTCTATTAATAGTAAATAAATTAAATAAATAGTAGATTTCATACAATGCTGGATAATAATTCTACCTTTAAATAATATTTTGAAGATATATAAAATAAAACTGATCAGTTAAAGTAGTAAAAACTTAACAATGTGTCTATTAACTATCCCTACCATTCCAAAATGTCATCCGTACAACACGTCTCTTTGAAAAAGTTCTATGATTTAATTCTGATATTTCTACCATTTTGATATTTGCACCATTCTTTCAGACAAGGCTTATTTTTAATAGCAGATACAAACATTGCTTTTTCAGATATTCATTGACTTCTGTTACAGAGATGTAAACTTGTCGTTAGAGAAAAAGTCGTTACAAACAATTTTATTTTGCTACTTTACGAATTATAAGTGAAACTTCGAAAAGATATAAAGTCATTAAAATGTAGAATACTAAACAATTCTTCTCCAGTATTACAAACAATATAACGAATTTCTAAGAGAATATATTCTGCAGCTTTTAGCTGCTGTGAATTTGAATAGCAATGCTAAATTTGATGACTTACCCTGATTGTGTCGTTGATTTTATTAACCAACCAATTGAATAAGCGACTGTACAAAGCTTTGCATAAGGCATTTCTTGCGTAGTTGGCCTAAAAAAATGAAATACATCATGAGAATATTTGAAGGTATAAGTTTATACATTTCCCACTAATTTAAATTTTGAAATGCATCTGTCACATTCTAAATCAATTGACGTTATTGGAATCGAAACTTTCGTTTTCATTTTACACCAACAGATGGCAGCAAGTTACCTCCGTCGCAGACAAATCGGTGACAATTACGTCATGCCTCGTCTCGACGGTTCTTTGAGTAAGAGCGGCTTGCAGAACAGAAACTTCTCCTTGCAGCAGTTCACAAATTTCATATATTTCTAAGAAATAAGAAAATAAAAAATTGAAATCAAATTTACCATTTCTAAATCAGTTATTAGAAGATTTGAAAATATATATAGAACACATGCTTTTCAGAAATCATTAAATTAGGTAAAAAATATGCCATGAATGAGTTTTACTTAAATTGCATATTTATCAGGTTATAAAAACAAAAGATATAAAAGTTGGCAAAAGTAAATCAGTGCATTCTGGTTAAAAATTATTAAATCCCATACTTAGAACATAGCGTGTTTTAGTTTACTGAAATTTAGCTTGTTTAGGGAGTTGTGAATAGGTACGTAGATCTTGTTTGTTACCTTGAAAACAGAACACCACGTCTTTAAAATTTTAAGAAAACTTCTTCTAAGAATTCTGTCTAATTATTAATAGAACAGATTTATTTTACAGTTGAAATTACAACTTTAAATTAATCTTCATTGAAGCGTAGGGGTTAAAATATTTACCACAAGAATTATAAATAAACACAACCTTACAACTTATTAAACATAAGTTACAAAATGCCTGTTTAATAAATTTAGAATAAATTAGCAGCGTGTTTTCAATACTGCAAATTATCCATTTCTTTGAATTTTTATAAATTTTAACTAAATGCATTTCATCAGAATGGGAGGGGAAACATTTTTTTTTCTTTACAATAGCAGTCGAATTTTCTAGGCACGCTTTCCAACAAGAGCTTGCGGTGCGTGATCTAAAATGAGCTATCGCTCCCCTTTGGCGAGTAACCTTTCGCTCACTCAGTAAAGTGAATCGATTCTTAGAATCACTTCGCAAGCGAATAACTTGTTGAAAGAAACGGCCTTAATATACTTTTACGAATTAGGACTTCTCGGTCTGCAAGCTGCTACAATATTAAATCACATGACAATATATATAACTCAAAAGAAACAACTGAATTTGATGTTGAAAATCTATATTTAGTCCATTTTTGGTTTTTTCTAACCTTAATGGCACGCAGTAAATTAAAAAGACTACTTGCTTCTAACGAAGTTTGCATTTAAGGATTGAGGCATGAGTACTTAGACCTATTAATCTTTGTTTGTGAGAAAGCAGGTTGGGATTTTTATTTAAAGAATTTCAAGCCAGTAGTTTATATAACAGTGTCTGTATCGTTTTTAAATGCAGTAAAGACAAAAACCAGAGTTCTGCAGCAGAAAAGTAGACTTTTTCATACTAATTTTTATTTTGAGACTTTTTCTAATTCTAGAACATTTTAGTATTCAAAACGAAAAAAAATTAAGTCATTTTATTAAAGAAGAATTTGGCATGAAGTTAAACATGAATTAAATCAAAACATTAATTAAATTGTATTTTTGTTTAATGAGGATTTACTGTTTGCGCCATGGAGAAGATGCCTTGGGCATTTTAATGACAGAAAAGTTAAGTCTTTTAGAGAAATAAATTATCGATCATGAACTTTAATTATTAGCCCAAAAGAGACGTTAGTTTCAAATGGGCTATTAGTCTCGAAACGGCATCATTAAAAGCTTTGAATCACTTTTCAAATCGTTTTATTATTTCATGAAAATTACTCTTGAAACTGAACTGAGCAAAGCATTATTGTTAAAAATTTAATACTTCGCAATAAATCTATCCTCGGTACTAGATTTGCTGAAAAACTTTCTAAATTTGCCTCTTTCAGATTTTCCCAAACGTGTCAACTTTTTGCCACTCTACTTGACTAAAACTGTTTTCTATTTATTGCCTTGTTTTCGTACCTAATCCTCATAATTCGCTGTTAGTTCTCGAATAGAAATTGAATTAAAGAATAGCATTTAATCACAGAAGTTTCTTCTTTTAAATATTTCTTACTTTAGTAAACAATATTGTTCAAAACATAATTACGTTAATTTAACTTTCACTTACAGAACTGCACTGATTTTCCGTCAGTTCAACTTTGAAATCATTTTCTCTGCTATTTTATACAACGCTCGATTAGGCCCTGTGTATTTGGATTCTCAAGGAGTTGTCTTCCAACTATTGTGATTCAATATGCATTGAGAAATTAAAGAAAATGTCCACATTTTGCATCCAGATTACAAATCTGCCGTCGAAAGACGGAAACATTTATAAATCTTTATTGATAATCCTTTATTAATCCCTCAAACACGCTCAAATATTAATTTAACTAAGCAATTCTTCTTCTTCTTTTTTTTTAGATCTTTTGAGCTTAAAATAATCTTTCAGTTTTAATTAAGGACTTTAATTTTTCCTTACTGCTCAAAAACGTTTATCTCAAAAAGTAAATAAAAGTATCTTGTAAATATGCGTTGAAAGGTTTCGTTTGAAATAAACGCCAAGCGGAGGATGAGTTTATCAAATATTAACATTTGAAACATGCTAAGTATGCGTCAACTTAAAGAGCATACATTTATCTCTATTATATTGCTGATTATCTGAAAGAGGATATCAGATGTGTCTTACCATATTCGTTTATAAGGGAGCAACTCTCCGTTCCGTCCATGTTGGCCCTAGGTAGGAACTGGATGTTCCCTAATTTGAGCACTGAAGAGGCCACTTGGAAAGTCGAGAGTGTCTCCTCTGCACTGAAGCCCAGCATTTCAAAAGCTCTCTAGAAAGAATTAAATAAATGAAAAGTTAGATTTATCCTGGAGATGTAGGAAGTGATTAAGAATTTCCTTGCAAATTCTTACTACATATTTTTAAAAGCATCATACGCGTATGTATTTTCATTTATATAATGCATTAATACTCTCATGCAGAACAATGAGAATATATTTATTCAGTAAGCCAAAGGAAGTTGACATTGTTTGCTCAAGCAATGCTAATGAACAAATTATAAAACAGGATTTTAGCGTCTTTCGAAAAAAAAATGTCAATTGTATAAAAGTAGTTTTAAATATGAGGCAAATAATATTAAAAGCTGCTTTATTTGAAGTACAGAAGGTAGTTGAACTAGAGTGTTTCAGATTTGAAAGAAATTCCCAGAATTCTGCAAACGTAAAATGATCACAGTGACCGAGTGCATATTTTGTGGACTTCTTGCAAAAAATGCGAACACTCATTATTTACCGCTTTCAATTCATTGCATTTCCTAGACTGTTTTTCATTTTTTACGCTATTCATGAAAGAGATAAATGTATATTGTCCGAGATGCATAAATAAAATTTTTATACTATTAAAGGATCATCCAGCACTCTATTTCTTTAGCTCATCTTATGTGATATATTTTAAATGGCTTTTCTTTTATTGAATCTGGATTTTTTGAGTTTCGCGGTTTCAATGTGCGTAGTCTTCAGAAAGTATAATATATACAATTCGAACTTAAAAAATAAATTAACATTTTATATGAAAAGTAACTGATCCGTTTTGACTGTGCAATAAATGCTGTTTCTCACGTAAAGCGAATAAATCGACATTGCTCGGACCCAGTCAGTTTCTAAAATATTCCTGTTGTAAATGTGTTCCACTAAAAAAAATTCCCAACTTTAGTTACATTTTAATGTATTGGACATACCCTTGTTGTGGCGAAGGAGGACTTGTCGTCGATATTATTGGCTTGCAGACAACGACTCTCGTGCAGGAACTGGTACTTATCCGCATTGCGCTGCAGCTTCAGACTTTCTGAAAAAAATAAACTGAATGAGAAAGACTCTTGAGATTCCTAGGAAAGAATAAAGCTAAAACCTTAATGCAAAGAGCATGGCATTTAAAATGTGTAGAAAAATATTTCTGTGATATTTCGTTTACATAAACAGAAAATTTTATTTTTTTAATACTCAATTCAAAATGCTATAGAACATACATTGATTCTCAACTTAGGTATCGGTAAAGTTTTGAAATGAGATGCTAAGTTTCCCGAAACACCTGCTATGCCCGATATTTTACTCTGTTACATATACAGCAGTGGCGTGCCGTGAATTTTTAACGAAGAAGTATATTAATCTCTAAGAAGATGACACACGGACGTGGTAATCTTCTTAAAAAGATAAAAATCAGTACAAGTGTTTATTTACGTCCTCGAAAAATACTAGTCACTTTCGGTAAGTGGTCATTTTAAAGAAGTGATTGTCACGACAGGGTTTATTGTATTTTGAATACAAAACTAGTGATCTAGCGTGAAAACTAATGGATACAACAATGGTTAATATGGTTTGATAAATTTATGAAAATCAGATAAAGAGGGAAAATCAAAGTAATTATACCATAATAAATAAATAATTTTTTAATCGGATGGATATCATAAAAATAATTAGTTAAAAACATGTTATCTCAAAAAGAGCATAAGGTCAGAAAAATAATTTATTTTAGCTTTATTAGTAATAGTTTTGAAATGCATAATATTCCGCTTTCGAATGACGGCTGTAACATTTCATGCTTATGCAAATGAGAGCACCCGGAGTTGATTTACCTTTTACCATAATTTTGTGGCTGTTAAAAAATAAAGCGATCGAGACATAGGTTGTGACACTGTCAGCTGATAAGCGCATTGTCATAAAACGGCCACAGAGATTTCTTGGCCATGTTTTCTAATGATCTTTTGCTTGAGGAACATCTTCTTGTATCGCTTCCCTCTCCATAATTTAAACTTGGGATTACAGCATTAAATTATTTTACTTCGAATTCTTTCATGTACACTAAAAATGCTTTTATGAAAGCGAAATAAAATATAGCGTTAAGAGTTAAATTAATTTCGCATATATGAATCACAAGAAAACTAAAATTTCTTGTCGGCAGTAGTTAACTATGGGAACAGGTGGAGGCGAGTTGATTCTTCCTGTCATGCGGCCATCGCAATTCGAGGTACACTCTTTCACGCGAAAATCTGATTACTCTCGAATGGAGCGCTGTTTTAAAAAAGGTAAAATGATATTCCGTTTAAATAATATACATGAAGGGCTAATATGTCAGGGAACTAGCAGTGCCTCTAATCCATTGACGGCAAGCCACTGATTATATGTATATACATGTCTATAACTTACAAAACAATCTATCTTTTTGTTAGTCTATAACTAACAAAAAGAGAATCATAACATAATTGATTAAATTCAAATAAAAACCAAGGTATAAAAGAAACAGTTTTAAGTACTGTTAAATTCTTCAAAAAATACGAATCGAAGAAAGTAGTTTCCTGTTGAAATGATGTTGTTTATAATTGTTAAATAATAAGTTTAGTAATAGTCATATATCTGTAGTATTTAAATTAATCAAGTTGTTCGGCAAAGAATGCAAATGTGAGTGGTATTTAATAAGAATAAATAAAATGTACTCACTTAGTAGATGTACATCGGCACCACTGAGCAGTTGATAAAAGATGTGAAAATTTCTTTCTCCTTGAGCTTGAACCACAACCCTAGACTGAACCCAAGAAAACCTCTCAACACCATTTGAATATACAGCGAAAGTGCAAGCGTAGTTTAAAACATGTAAAAATAGAAAACTATTTGATTTAATTAAAAGCTTCACAAATGCTATTTTATCCACAAATTTGGATATTGTATTGCATTCCAGACATGAATCCAATTCAATATTGTTTTAAATAACTCTTATTCCACTATTATAAGAAATACACGATTCAACTCTAATATAATTCTTGATTCATACGCATAAAATACGCTTTTTCAAATTCATTTGTGAAATATATGTAAAACTAATTTCTTATGATAGATATATTTATCACTAAAATATATATTTACTCAAAAAAGAACAAAATTTAGTTTCTCTTATGGTGCAAATATAACTGTGTGATATAACAGCGAAAATATTTTGGATTGAAGGTAACTGAAATATTTTAATGTGCTTTTAAATATAACGTATCGTAACACCATTATTAACTTTCTGAAACCCGAAAAAGAAAAATATCACGTTTTTACTTTAGGCATAATAATATTATAGGAGAAATCAGGTGTATACTTTAGAACAATACAGGGAGAAATTTAGAAATACCGACAAGTATGTATGCGTAAACCTACAAAACAGTTGCACAAGAGATACAGAAAGCTAATGGTAAAATTTTATATGTAATCTAATTAGTTTTCGCATGCTATACATATTCTACAGAAAGATCGAAACTTTATATTCTGTAATGCATATTTCGAGAAAAAAAATTACCTCTAGACAGTAGTTGGAATAATGAACTTTTAAGTAACATGCCGCTATATGCATTTTTGAGGAAAAATTATGAAGAAAACAAATTCCGATTAATTTAAAGTTTGAAAATTTCACATGGAAATTTCACATCCCCAAGTAGGCAAACGATTAAAGTTTCGTGCCCAATGAATACAAACTTCGATCAGAGCCCGCAGTTCTGCTGCGCAAGTGACATCTTGGAGACTTCAGACACAACTGCACAATTTTGCAAAGAACTAAATCGTTGAGTTGTGTGGATATGGCCGTATAAAGATGGTTACTACAAGATTTGCATCGACTGAAATGAAAGCTCCAGTAGGACAAGTATCAGAAATATGAGGCTAGATTAGGGAACAACCCTCTGACATCATCATTACCTGCAATAAAACTGCACTTACTTACGTGTTACTGAACTTTCCACAATTTTATGACGCATGGCTGAATCAAGATTATGCTCATATCCCCATAATGATGTCTGTCTTTTCCATACCAAACAACAATAATCTCATTTAGAATGGTGACATGTTTGAACATCAGTGCTGGCCGCTGACTGGCACTGCATTATTTTAAATGATGAATTCCACTTCCCTCTTGAGGCAGATAATCATTACATTTAAATACGGCACAGGTCGGGCTAGCTTTGCCAAAAAACTTCATTTTGCAGAGGAACATGGCCAATACTCATGGTGTGCTGGAGTGCTATCTCATATGACAGCAGGTTGTCTACAGTGGTCATGCATACAACTCTAATGGTGTTGCAATATTTGATAACATACTGTGATTAACTGTACTATGCTTCATAGCACATCACTTTGGGGCATTTACCAATCCGATAATGCTCCGCTGATGCGTCGCATATATCTGTAATATTACCGAATTGTTTCAACTATTTTTTGGCATGCAAGGCTCCCAAATCTTACGTCAATTGTACATGTGTGGGACATGAAAGTCGTCAAGTGCAGACGTCGCAAAATATTGAAGATATGGAACTACTACTGCGGAACGGTTATAAATCTATCACAGAAGGATATTAGAAATTTCTATCATTCTTTACTTTACAGTACTTGTACAGCAGCATACATCATAACGCGATGCTTGTACATATTTACTTACTGTTAAACGAAGTACACATTTTTCAGCAGAATAATAACTTTATTTAAAATAAGCATATTAACTTTATTTAAAATCTTCTGAATTTTGTTCTCTGTCACGAAAATTTTCTTTTCATCACATTTCGAACACTTACATTTATTGAAGAAATTCCGTATTCATACATAAGTTCATACATAAATTCACAGCATTTGCACTTCCTAATAGAAAACTTAACTAAAATGAATAGAAACTGAACTACTAGTGATACGAAGCAAAGAGAAGATGGTATACAGTAGAATAAACTTAGGTTCACACAGGCTACAAAACAGTTAAAAGTCAGCAAGTAAATAAATGGTGAAAAATAAAATTATTTTAATTTAAGATAAATGATAACTACAGAACGAAAAATTACGAGCAGTTCAGAACATTCAGTACGTGCGATACTCCGCTCTATGATTCATCTTAGTTTATAATTAAATAAGCTTCAATACAGCAATCAGAAATTTAGCATAAATTGCCGTGTTAGAAATAAACTCTAATGCAACTTCTAAAAAATAATTTCAACTCATTAAATTTTTTTGAAAGTCACTTTTTCGTGTATTACATTAAGAAACAGGTAAACAGGAAAAATTTAAATATTAAAATTTATACTTGCCTTTTCCAAGAGGTCTGTAACAGCAAAAGCACATGATTTAATAAAAAAGTAATAAATACAAAATTTGATAAACACGGTTTTAAAATGCATGTTTACATATAATAATTAATTTATAAAACATTGCATAAAATTCATGTAAATATTTTATTCATGTTTATCTCCATTACAGATAGAATTAAAACTGGCTTTTAAATAATAAAAGTATTTTACTATGTTGTTAGCACCATGCCAAAACCAAGTATTTGCATGTAAAATCACTGTTTTAAGATAAAACATGCTTAAAGGTTTTGATAAACATGTTTGGCTTTTAGAATATGCGGTATATGAGACAGTTTACACTTCTAAACAAAAATCTATATGCATTCCACAGAATACGTATCTCTACTTTAGCATAATAGTATAAACCATCGAAGGAAACTTCGAAAATACCTGTAAATAAAAACACCAAAAATTACAGAACTTAGATTTTGACGCAGTGCTAACAAGTGTAATAAGTTTTATAGATCAGTAGTAATTACATTCTTATACTTCTAAGATTTTTTTCATAATTAAAAATAAATAAAACTGGTAATTAATTATAGTTACAAATATATTAAAATCAGCAGCAAGAAAATAAAAACAGCTCAATGAAAATAATTAAAATTAATTAATATTTTATTTTTCATATATAAAGAAATGGCTCTGTTAAGAAAAAAGTGCTCGACCAAATTATATAAAGTTTAATTTACAGAAAAATCTGTCTTTTCTTCACAACGCTACTAAAAAGGCATTCAAAATCTCAGAGGCTATTTTTTATCGTGCAGAATTAATATGCAATAAAATACTTATTAAATTTTATTTTAATACTTGCCATTTTTAGTGCTATAACCAAATTTAATAAGTATTTTTATTGTTCAAAACTAATAATAAAGCTCCCATTATTAGTATGATAACTAATGAAGCTAATTAAAATTAGAAATATATATGTTTCTAATACATGTAAAATCCAGAACTTGATTCCGACCAGATATAGGTAACTGGGATATTTACAATTATAAAATGCTTAACTTTGTAAAAAGACATATACTCTTCTGATAATGCTCTTTCATCATTTAAAGAACTTCCTAAAATATCCATAAGTTAAAAAAAAGGCAACAGGTTTTTTTATTAGTATGCGAATTATTTTAGAAAGCATATGTTTTGAAAATTATAGAAATAAAGATTTATGAATTTCATTACGTTAATAACAAAATACACTAATTCATACTCACAATTTGTGATGGATCCCCCAACAGGGCATCCCTTAAAATCAAATTCGATTTCCATATACTTTCCCTAAAAATATAAGAAAAGCTAAATGAAGTAGCCGTTGATGCATCGCGATTATTGATTGTGGGCAAACTATTTACAGAAATTTACAAAGATGTTCATTAACATTCCGCGATATTCTTCGAAAAGAGACGGTTTACCACTTTTAACGGGAAAATCTTTAATCATTTCCAGAAGTTTTACTTCAAAAGAAAACGAAAAAAGAGATAAAATACAAAGGATATGCTGTGATTAAAACTAATTTTCTGTTTTTTGTACTTAGCGAGAAATTGCCTGTAATGAAGATGTAGATACGCGTGATTAACCAATGAATCACTAATTATTTCTCTGCAGAAAAGATTTTAAAAGTTTCAGCGATAATCCTGCATAAAGATTGCATTTTAAATGATATCAATTTGATTTTTATCGATGTTAACTCATTCTTTCCAAGTCTGGGAGAAAATTGACATCAATGTAAAAAAATGCTACCATTCGAACAGCACTTCGGAAAATAACATTTTTCTGATCGCATTATACTTTCTGGCATGTTCTAAAAGTTAAGAATTATTTATATTACTAACTTATTTCTTTATACTTTTTATAGAATAGATTAAAAAAGAAACATCGTATTAATACAGCAGGAGTTTTCAACGCTTTTCTTACAACTACCCCTTTTGAAAAGACGGTTTTCTTCCTTGACCACCTTACATTTCTCTCTATGAACATAATCATAACACAAATAATCGCATATAAGTAACTTAAAGATAACAATTACCTTAAGGATATGAACGGAGATTTGAAAAAATGGTTTATAAGACTCGTCTTTTTTATTTTTCGCATTATAACTATTTTTTAATTTTTCGCATTATAACCATTTTTAATTTTAAAAATATAAATAAGTTTTCAGACCCGAAATAACAGGTTCTAATTGCACGAGAATTCGATTATAATGTGATGGCTGCGTTTGATGCATTGATGCATTTTTTTTAGATATTTGTTATGAAACTGTTAACTTAAATCTTAACAAAATTTAAATCTTAAATCACCGCGTTCAGAATTACTCAACCTGTTTCTTGTTTTCCGTAGTAAGTTATTGATCTAATCAAAACTTGCTTCCACTAAGTAAGAGAAGGGAAAAGTCAAAAATGCTAGTCCAGTAAACAATTTTCTTTCGGATGACTTTTACATTTCAAAATTAGCATATCCATGGGTTTTGAATAAGACGCGACGCATTTGTATAATAAAGCTCTAGAGATCAACATATCCAACATATGGTCACAAAACCGGAAAAGTTTCTCTTTTGGAAGACCGATGCGCACCAAGCACGCTTTACTTCATTTTACTTTATCACATTCCTAAAATAGTTATTATAAATAAAAAAATACACAACGATTTTATGAACGCAACTAATATAATTTCACGGGCCCATTTAGTAATTAATTTAATAATAATTTAAAGGAATCCATTTCTACTGTTTTTAAATAACTTAGTTTGTTAATTACTAACAATAAATCTGAAGGGAAAATTAAATATCTTACGCTTTCCTGAATGACATAATACAGCCGCACGGAAGATAAAATTATAAATTCCGGCATTTGAAAACATGGCTGATTCAGTTCCAAAGCCAATTCATTTCATTTTGGCGAGTGGCAACACATTTCTTTCATATCGCTGAGGTTTTTTATTATCTTGAAACACAAATATCTTACGCTTTGTACACTGGCAGCAAGAAGCTTTTATATCGTTGAGCTTTTAATCAAAACTTAATTAAATTCGAGCAAATGCAAAATAAATTAAAAATAAATTTGAAATTCAAAATTCAGACTTCGAGGTACCTATGCTTGAATGCAGAACTACCTATGTTCAAAATTTGGCAGCTGTAGGTGCCTCCGTTTTTCCACAGTGCGAGAATCACACAAACATACATATAAACATATAGATTCTTCACTGTTTAATTAATAGAGATTATAAAATAACTGATCTCGGTAGTCATGTCAGAATCAGTTTTTAGCTTTAAGAAAATATTTATGCCCAATAACATAATTTTTAAGGAATTTAGGATAACAATTTTTTTTGAGGGGATGAGGCGCGGCTATCAGACAGCCATATTGGCTTGCATGTTTCAGAGAATAATGTTTATCAGGTCATTTTAAAGCAGCGATGTGCTATTAGTGTATTAAATTCAGCCTGCCTCCATTATACAAAAAACATAAAAACAAAAATCTGAAAGGTTTCAGATTTTAAATTGCGCCCAAAGGGGCATTGTTTTTAACGTTTTGGGTGTTACATTTATTTATTAAATATCATGTTTTTTGCCACTTAAACCATAAAATTCCGTTCAACAGCAATGTCGCAAAATAATTTTAAAATAAGCATATGTTTAGAATTTCCGATACACAGTTACGCGCGGTGGAGATAAAAAGGTTTTTTTTTTCCTCTTAGAATGTTGCAATTGCTCGCTTTGTTAATCAAAAACTGGTTAAAGTTTTGTAAGATATGAAATCGATAATAAAACAAATTCAAAATTTCGAATTTGGTTTTTCAGATGCCCATATTCGCAATAGGATTACATCATTCAAAATTGGATGGCTCTAGGTACCGTTTTTTATCACAATGCGAGGAAAATACATACACTTATGCAGAATCTTCATTATTTAATTTCTTCAAATATAATACACGGCGATAGCATTTGGTGGCAACGATTTGCGATTTAAGAAGTGATACAACCTTTTAAAGGTTTCAAAGCAAAATCGCAAAACGAAAACAATAGTCCTTCAGGGACAAAGCCCCTTTGGACTAAAAAAACTCAAGCGAAATGCAAGTGAACTTCTGACTGTCGTACAATCAAAGTGAAATTTTCTTTGCATTTATTAAATGGATTAGCTTATATTTGATTAAAATACTTTAGTAAAAACGTTTCTCTGAAAACATAACATAAAAACATAAAACTGTGCCATAATGTGGCAGAAAAGACTTCTAACTGGAAAATATAGAAAAAAGAAATGTAAAAACGATCTGCATATTGTTAGTTTTCAATATCATCATATTTGTGCAGGCGTTCTCACTCGAAACAGATGTGGGAATTATTCTTCTCTCGGGGATCTCGCCTCGGGAAAAGAATTGTTGTTGTATCGCAGCTGAGCTTTTTTTTACTAAGTATCGCTTAGTACTTGAAGTTTTTTTGCTCGATTGGAGACGTTGTTATTTACGTGTTTTAAATTGGATTCGGCACCTTTAGGTAGCTACTGTTGCGAGCTGCAGGCTCAATGACATTTCTTGAAATAATAAGTTGAGATCAAAAGGAAGAAATAAAAAATTCATTATGGAAATAGGCAAAATAAATAGTACACACAGAACAATAATGGTAGAAAATATTCAAGAAGAACTTGAATAACAGTTCTTTCTCTGCACACGAAACAAATCTTAAAATCACTCTCAGAGCAAACCTTAACTCGTAGTTCTACCTATCTCGAAGACTCATAGCTGATACGCAACTGATTCACAACTGAACTTCCTAGCTTTTCGAAAACCGTATTTATACCCTGCAGAAAACTTCTAGAAGAATCGGCTGTAGGCTCCTAAAATCTGTTTTCGTGAATGTTCCAGAAAGGTGCCAAGTTGGCAAAAATCCCCAAATATCACTAATCTGGCGGCAAAAATTGTCGCCAAGGCCTCTTACGAACGAAACTGCTTATGATTGATATGAGCTGTAAATTAGACACATTGATACGAGGGGAAATTAGACATCCATATGCACCCACTATTGTTTAGTTTGAGGTTTATGATTTTTTGAATTGACTGGTAAGAATAATCTTTGCATAAGAATGAGAAATAGATATATGATATAATGAGAGAACGAGATTCAAAAACATGGAAGAACAATTCTGTTTTTTAAAGCACTTTTAACTAAATTCCCTACAGAAAGTCATAAAGAAATTATTCGTAAAATTTTCCATTTTACGTCACGCTTTAATGAAAAAGGGATTACGGCTGACAAAATATAAGCGAAATTCCTGCCCTAAGCAAAGCATGATTAGAAATACTAATTAGTTTTAAGATGAATGATGCTTAACCCGAGAACAGCAGATATCAAGGTCGCCTTTCTTTATCACTCGATGAAAGTTCAAATGTAACCAGACACTTCAAAATCGAAATATTTAGAGGGAATACAGTTACTAGTACATTTGCGGGAAAAGCTCAAAAGAGTTTAATAGTGTAAGCTGTTAGCAGCATGACAGGAAGACTTCTTAAACCCAGAATTTGGTTTGCCAGTATTACATTGATCGTTCAGATATTTTGATTGCCTTTTCAATTCGGGTTACAAATTGCCTGAAAAGATTGAAATCAGTGTAAAGAAATTGTAGCTTAAAATAAAGTTAACATATAAAAGAAATTTAAAGATCAAATGGGATAAACAATGGACCTGACTGAATAAAACAAGCAAATCGACAACCTTGTATTCGGAGTAGATTTTGTAAAATCCCAGTTGATTTTGCGGGCAAAACGGATCCCCCTTCATCAGGAGAAAAAATCAGAGATTCTACTTCTGATGAAGGAGGACCCGTTTTGCTCTCGAAATCGATTGGTATTTTACAAAACCTACGCCGAATACAAGGTTGTCGATTTGCCTGCTTTATTTTCCACGTTGGAGTGTTTTTGTTGCATCTCTGGACCTGACCGAGTCTAGATTTGGGATTTCAAGCAACGGGAATAGTCTGCTGGGTGATTTTTGAGAATCTCAGCAAAGATGACTGATGTAAGAGATGACTTTTTAAGAAACTTAAATCTGATGACGAGGTTTTGATATGAATGTTGAAACCTCAAATTGAAATTCAGGAATTCAATTTGAGGAATTGAAAAATTCGGGAAGTTCATCACTGATACAGGTAAACGGTTTTAGCCATCTATGTCCATGGTTTTATACATCCCCTATTTATAGCGTTCACGCAACTGCAGCTGCTGTGTTTCCTGTCAGTCAGTTGACAGAACTGGCACAAAAAGCTTGAAATAAAGACTTCAAAACGTAT